AGTCTCTCACACTCACACTGGAGCTAAACCTTAAGCAATAGTCTCTCACACTCACACTGGAGTTGAACCTCAGCCAGTGGTTTCTCTCACATATCGGAGTCCCATGATCCTGTCCAATCATCTAAAATGTTTCCTATTATTTCCGAATTACATTTCCTAGCCTTCACAGGTATGTTCTCTACAAGCATGAAAGGAGGAAGACAGGAAACGTACACTAATGACAAATTATTTGGCAAAAGTATTCAATTATAATATTGTATGTTTTGTTGTGGGTCTTAAATTAACGTAATACCAATTAATTAAACTTTAACTACTCTTCAAAGTATTTTCCAGGGGTATATAGAAAGAGGTTAGGTTCAGCTAGGGTTAGAAAGGATTACTTAGATTATGTTACATTAGATTATGTTACATTTCCTTACTAGGGCAAGGAAATTATCAGGAATAAGCACCAAGGCATTACGACTATATATAAGGATTTCTTAGATTAGATTATATTAGGTTCTGGAATGTTTAGTAGGACTCGCTTAAATTAGGTTAGGTTAGGTGAGGTAAGGTTAGGTTAGGTTCGGTTAGGTTAGGTTAGGTTCATTAAGAATTGCTCATCTTAGATAAGGTTAAGTTCAGAAAGGAAGAATGGGTTACTTGTCTTGGGTTAGATTAGTATTAGAACATCTACTAGTACAATTGAAGTCTCGGTAGTACAGTTTGATTCGTTCTCGACTCACAGTCAGGAATACCGGGTTCGAATCCAGGATGGCTCAGAAATGGTTGGAAATGTTTCCTTTCATCTAATGCATCTCTTCACCTGGCTGTAAATAGGTATCTGTGAGTTAAGGCAACTGTTGTGGGTTGCATGCTGGAAAGGGTCAGAAGTATGACCTTGGGAGGACCTCGAAATAAGCCTAATGCACATACATACACAGGCTGCTTGTCCCCGACAAAATGAGTAAATGCCGTTCATTCAAATCTACTTCACTTATTTAAGTTTCATCTATAATTCATTTATATCTCAATTTGATTAAAAAATGTTCCATTAATTTAATATTATATTACCAAATTCTTTTTTATTTTTAAGTAGATTAATTTAACCCCCACAAAGCTTATTGCATTTATGTTCAAATTCTCTAATTTCGTATTAACTGAATCAATTTGTTTCAATAAACTTTTTACGTCTTACAACCCGCTTAAAGACTCGTAATAAAATGCTAGTTCCAGCCAAATCATCTTCAACAACGTGACCAAAAAGCATCAAATCTATCGTTAAATCTATCGTTTCGCAATATTAATCTTAAGACAATTATCGACATAATAGAATGACGTTAGATTATTTCTTCATAATTTTATCGTCTTGTAAATAAGCAATGAGGCCTTCAACGACATAAGGCTGAGAGTTAGTTGTGGCCCGACATTCCGACAATACGCTCAAGGATCAGGCCTGGTCGACGACCGGGCCGCGGGGATGCTAAGCCCCGGAAGCACCTCAAGGTAAGGGGGAAGGTAACCAGCTTCCAATCAAAGTGGTACACAAGGCAGAAACAGGAGGGATAGCAGAGAGAGAGAGAGAGAGAGAGAGAGAGAGAGAGAGAGAGAGAGAGAGAGAGAGAGAGAGAGAGAGAGAGAGAGAGAGAGAGAGAGAGAGAGAGAGAGAGAGAGAGAGAGAAACAACGACAGAGAGAGGGAGACAGACAGACAGCCAGACAGACAGCCAGACAAAGACAGATACAGAGTTGAAAGGCATTAATGTGGGCTAAAGTAAATAGCCCAAAAATATGATTGCTGTGAAAAAAGAGGCTCTGTGTTTTTTTGATGACAGAGCCACAACCGAATGTTGGCATCATAAAAAAATAATAAAAAATACTCCACTCATGTACCTATTATAACATGTCTTAATTTGATATTGTTGGAATATCTATTGCTAGTCCGATCACCCCAATATGAGGAAAGTCATATATGATTTATGCCTCGACTCAATGCATGACCTACAAGTCGTTCTGGATATATATATATATAATTTTATGACCCACTGAAACTGCGTGATAATATGGAACGTCAGAAACAATACATGGTAAGGAGAAACGAACTATTGACTCGTATACGAGAAGAAAACCAACTCGTCCACCAAATAGAACGACGTATTTTGACGTATACTCTACTAAAAGCCAAAAATGTTCGTACTAGTAAATATTAGCGGCTCCTGAAATTGACATACCATTTTGTTTTACTGTTTTGGGACTTTAGTATGAAAGTTTCTTGACGTAGTAAAACCCTAGGAGAGAGAGAGAGAGAGTTAAGAAAGAAAGAAGAAAGGCGGAAGAAAACCCTGGTAAATAAAGTGGGTCTTTATTTGAACGTTTCGCTCGTTTCGAGCCTTATTAATACTGTTCAACTTCTTACCGAACGAGCTGATCCGTTGTCTGAGAGTGAAGACTTGTTTCTAATCTTTGGCTTTTCTTAATAACAATTTTCAGTTCTACTGATGTTGAAATGTGTGTATGTTGTAATTCTCTTTAGTAAGTCTAGCTGTCAGAAAAGCAATATACGAGGCTTGTATATTTTTTTGCATGAAATAAAGTTAGAGAAAGGTATATTTGAATAATGTTTAACCATAGGGAATAAACTCGAGAATGATCTTATTTGGAGGGAAATAAAAATAAACTGGTCTTGGAATAGGGCTGTGGAAGAGTGAAATCGGGTGAGAGAAAGAATTATTGTACCTAAACGTTGAACAAGTTTCACGAATAGGCAATATTCGCTATGTAGTTAAAGCGAGGGTGTTCTTGCATGGTACTAACCTACCATAAGCCAAGAGGTTACCCACTGGGCTCCATAACTCGTGTTCTTGTTCTCTAATCTACCTGTGAAGTTAAGGCTAGTGATTAATCTACCTGTGAAGTTAAGGCTAGTGATTAATCTTCCTGTGAAGTTAAGGCTAGTGATTAATCTACCTGTGAAGTTAAGGCTAGTGATTAATCTACCTGTGAAGTTAAGGCTAGTGATTAATCTACCTGTGAAGTTAAGGCTAGTGATTAATCTACCTGTGAAGTTAAGACTACTGATTAATCTACCTATGAAGTTAAGGCTAGTGATTAATCTACCTGTGAAGTTAAGGCTAGTGATTAATCTACCTGTGAAGTTAAGACTAGTGATTAATCTACCTGTGAAGTTAAGACTAGTGATTATTATAATTAAACTTCAACTCCTTGGTCCCATCTCTCAACATTTTTTTGTATTATTAAAACTCCTCATTTCTGTACATATATCTCATTTGTGTTGGGTTCTTCTTGTTTCTTCCATGTCAAATAGCGCTTGCCTATTCATTTCAGACTTTGTATGGTATTTTTCACGATGTGATCATGGCTTATTGTTATGCTCTTTCTGGTATTTGCTTCCTGGTGTGTGTTTGTTAGTATGAGCATGTTGTCCTGTGCTTCTTGCCATATACTTCTTTTAACATGTTGTCTAATGCTTGTCATGTCATTGTCATGTGTTTGTTGGTATTTTTGACAGGCGTTTGTTTGCATGTGCATACTGGAGTGTTTTTGTAGCTATGTCCTTGCTTCCATGTTATTGTTGGAAGGTTTTTGGCCTCTGATTGTTGGAAAGAATACCGGTGCATGAATGCCAACATCCTCCGTCTATGATGTGCTGCCTTGGTTGGGGTGTTAGCAGCATCTAAGAGTTAATAAACTGGTTCTTCACTTGCTAATTAATGTACCACTTTGAGCCTAAGACACTAATAGGAACTTATAAGTAATTACATTTAAGTTATCTTTATTAAAAGTTATCTAAGGAACAGTTTACAACAGTGTTATATTAAAGTTACACAAAGATTTACTGGTTAGTATTTTATCAGCTAGAAATGCTTTTACAAAATTTAATATTGTAAATGATATTTGTATCTACATTGATTATTTTCCTACAGCCTATGTCAATTTACATGCTTTTAATATAATAAATCCTGAATTTTGTTAATTAAAAAATGCTAAATATGTCAGACAAGGTTTTGTCTGACATATGAAGTAAATACGATTCTGAATGATTCATTACACAAGTTTCTTAAGGCAGTTCATATGTTTGCCAGCCTCGAATATGCCGCTGATGATATCCTTTTGATGTGTACATCAAGGGACATGTCTTGGGTGATATCAACCCCTCGATGTTACTCCATTTCTGATTTCTAGAGGATGTCATCTTCCAGTTGATACATTGTGTTCGGCCTCCTCCTCTTTACTCCTATTTTCATTGTTATACTCAGGGTCTGAGTTAAAATCTAGTAGCCATCTGTTGGTTCATTCCTTCAGTCTGTCCAAGTCATCTTGAAGTCTCTTGCTGTCCTCCTCAGTTCTTAATTCTTCTCATGATTAGGACTTCATCAGCAAACATTGAGAGGAGTCTATACCCTCTGGAAGATCATTTACATATATATGAAACAGGGTGGGTTTGGGTACCGATCCTGTGATCCTCCATCTGTGACATCTCTTCTTTCTGAGGTCTCCCCCCTTCGAAGTAACTTTCCGTTTTCTGTTACTTAGGTACTCCCTTATCCATTGCAGCTCTTTACCAGTTTCTCCAGCCTGTTTCTCCAACTTATGCAACAGCCTCTTATGGGGTACAGTATCAAAAGCTTCCTGTCAGTCCAAGAAAATGCCGTCTCTCCATCCTTCTCCATCTTATTTGATGTTTGTTGCATGGACATTGAATTCTATTAAACCTGTTAGGCACGATTTGCCCTCCCTGAAGTTATGCTGGTGGTGTGTTACTAAGTCTCTTTTCCCCAGATGTGTTACGAGATTTTTTCTCGCGATCTACTCCATCATCTTGTATAGCACACAAGCTAAGGACTCCGACCTGTGGTTTAGTGCTTCCCGCCAGTCACCCGTTTTGTATCTTGAGACTATATTAGTTCTTTTCCATCTTTCTGGCAGGTCTCCACTTTCCAGTGGCACCATTCCTCCTGTAGGAATGGTGCCATTGGATCCCGCATCATCCCTCTAGCTTTAATGAACCTCTACCTCTCCACTATTCTTCCAGGTCTACTTGAATATGCGCCCTGGTCAGCCCAGCGACGCCTGGTTAGCCCACCAACGTCTGCTCAGCCCACAGAGCCTGGTCAACCCCCAGAGCCTGGTCAACCCCCAGAGCCTGGTCAACCCCCAGAGCCTGGTCAACCCCCAGAGCCTGGTCAACCCCCAGAGCTTGGTCAACCCCCAGAGCCTGGTCAACCCCCAGAGCCTGGTCAACCCTCAGAGCCTGGTCAACCCTCAGAGCCTGGTCAACCCCCAGAGCCTGGTCAACCCCCAGAGCCTGACACCAAGCACTGTAACTCAGCATTTTACGCCTCGTTTGCCACGCTTTGCAAATTATTCACCCGATACAAATAGGATTTTTTCCTCTCTTATTGTATTGCTCTTTTAATTATTCTCTTCGGGGCAATAAATCCAGGTATTGTATTTATATGCTACGTATTTCGCGTTGGGGGGAAAAAAGAGAGAGCCAGATTTGCTTATCAAGAGATGTTATTATTGGTCAAGTCAACCCAGAGGGGCGTTCTCTGCAATATTATTTGCAGGTGAACTGATGATTATCGGATAGGAAGGTGATTCCCTCCGCCAAACCTTAGTCGGGCCTCGCAAAACAGACGGGAGGACAAATAATTGGCCTAATAACACCCAAAAGGAGCATTATGAAGTGACTTACATTGGTTAAATATTTAATTAACTCTGGTAATTGGGTGCCTCGGCCACCTGGTGGGTAATTATGCCAAGATGTTCGAGGTGGAACTGGGTGTAATGAAATGTAAACTTGACGTTGAAACAGGTTTAGTTGTAATTAACAACACTTATCTTAATGCATATGTTAGGCAATGCAAAGTAGCACTCTCTCGCCTTTTCCCTCTGCTCAGAACAGCGTATCGCGTGAATTTGGTTTATTTGACCCTTTTCATAACGGGTTTACTTATAAACAATATGAGTAAACCTAAATTAATCAAATTATTAATTAAGAGACATATTCCTTATTTATTCACATATTCTTTACTTATCTTTGGTTCGTTGTTTATCATATTTTTTCTTAATAACTTGCATAGCTCTTCTGTATTAGCAAATGGAAATGTCTGTCTGTTGGAGGCTGGAGGCCAGTTGCTTGCTTCACCTAATTTGTTTCCAGTTATGTTAGACATGGTCAAGTCTGGATTGGCATCAAAGAGTTCAACATGACAGAGAGAGAGAGAGAGAGAGAGAGAGAGAGAGAGAGAGAGAGAGAGAGAGAGAGAGAGAGAGAGAGAGAGAGAGAGAGAGAGAGAGAGAGACAGACAGAGAGAGAGAGAGAGAGAGAGAGACAGAGAGAGAGAGAGAGAGAGAGAGAGAGAGAGAGAGAGAGAGAGAGAGAGAGAGAGAGAGAGAGAGAGAGAGAGACAGAGACAGAGAGAGAGAGACAGAGACAAAGAGAGAGAGAGAGAGAGAGAGAGAGAGAGAGAGAGAGAGAGAGAGAGAGAGAGAGAGAGAGATCTATGGTTAAGAAGAGAATGACTTTGATTCTCGACCGTATGAACAAAACAACATGGACAAGAAGGACCTTAGAGAAAAAGGAGTCTACACGCTATCATAAAAATAACATTACTACAACTGATGACCCTTATTTTACTTACAGGATCCTTGGAATATTTAGTGTGGACACAGTAAATTGACCAGCAAAGTAAGATAACGAAAAACTATTGAAAATTTACCAGAAAGATACCAGAACTAATTCAGTTGTGGGTGTCTACTAATTTCCGTTCCAAAATTTTTTCTACTGTCAAAAATATGCTGTTAATATGGGTAGTCCACTATCATCAGTGATGCAGGCGAGGAGTCACAATAACGTGCGTGAAATATATTGACCAGACCACACACTAGAAAGTGAAGGGGCGACGACGTTTCGGTCCGTCCTGGACCATTCTCAAGTCGATTGTGAATGACTTGAGAATAGTCTAAGACGGACCGAAACGTCGTCGTCCCTTCATTTTCTAGCGTGGTTTGGTCATCACAAGTGATATCTAAGCTAAATATGGAGTACTTTGAGACCTGTGTCCTCTCCCAAATCATATCTTGTGACATGCCATGATACTGATACGACATGGTGCTCTTGGAAAGATCCACGTTGCATGAGCTGTGAGTATGGGGTGATTTTGAGCCGGAAAAGCCACAGAATCTGTTGATATAAAATGCTGAGTGGGGAGCAAATATATATACAACGTCATGGAATGTCATTCTAATTGTCTAATCATCCAAATGTTTTGATATAAATTGTGCCATTATATGCTCAATGGTAAACGTCCATTGTTTTTATAATATATAATCTTTCAATTTGCAAGCTAAATGTCACTTATTTTATGCCTAAAATGTAAATTTGATTTAGTTATACCCTCGTGTCTGATCCAGCCATTGTTATGAAGGATTTGAATAAATTGTTACCTATAAAGTTTCTGGTTCAGAGTTTGACAAGAGAAGTGGAGTTGACGTCTACATTTCGGTCACTCACACAGCTCCAGTTGGAAGCAGATTGACTAAGAACTCGGTAGAGTAAAACAGATCAATTATGGATACTCTGAGGGATGTCGAAGAGGTCATTAAAAAGGAAGGTGAACCGCTATTGATACGTCCAAAGTAACGGCCGACAGAACAGCATCTGTCCGTCCTATTAAAACACTACAGGAACCCCTCTTTTCCATAGCTCACGAAACGACGGAACGAGTCCATGAATGATTTTACCGATAGAAACGCGGCTCTAACTGACGACTTATCGAGGTCTCTTTTACCAAAAGTGACCATTATAACAATCACTCATCCTGTTAATGACCAGACTCATCGGGACTTAACCTAACTGAAAGTGGGGTGGATCTAGCACAGCGCCACATATATATATGTTACAAGGGAAAGCTGTAGCAGTCCACATGTAATCATAAATCATTGGAATAACTTAACTCATGGGTCAGGCAATGTTTATTGACCTTTGTCATAGTTGGCTTCAATGTAGCTCAAGACTTTGATCACGGTGGAATTCATTGTTACTTCTGATGAATTCTATCCACGACTTCAACATCCAGCTGTGACGAATGGATAGATTTATTGTTTAATGTAAACCACATGTCAAATGCAAGATTTAGAACGAAGTATTTAATAACATAGAAACAGTTCAATGGACAAAAGTGTTTATTGTCGGATATCTGCAATAGACGTTAGTTTCCGCTTTCATTAGAGGGTCAATGTTACAACTCTTAAATTAAAAGTGCATAAGGATCATATTCGCCAAATACAAGCCCCCAGTTCTCCCTTATCCAGCTTGGTAACTGTCCATTGAAGATGTTTTTGATGTCTTAATGCCATCAGATAACTTTTCAGCATGCAGCCATGAGACTAACACTCACATTTCCAGTTTTCTGAGAGAGTAGGAAAAATCCCTCACGCATATACAGTTTGCTTTCGTTAACGATGCACGGCATGATAGTAATGGAAGTTAACTTGTCCATTTCTCATCTGCTAATCGAGGAAGCACTGGTGATTGTCATTCCTCAGTGTGACCTTCCAGACAGAAGAAGGCCGGGTTCTTGCATCACTGAGCGCGGAGATAATTTGAACAACGGATGCGACCTTACCTGAAGGGTAGATTATTGTGTGCACTACTTACACTTCTTCGAAAGCGTTCAAGGCGACACCCTTCAAACACGAAATCTGAAGGCTAATTGCCTCATATTTTCTCCCCACCACTTAAGACTGGACGGTTTAGCAGTCTCTTGCGCTTCTTGCATGTAGGTGTTCAATTCCCCGATGATCCGAGTGGTTGGGCACCGCTTCTTCACTTCGTTCTAACGCAGATTCTTGTCCTCACGTCTCTCCCAAGTACTCTACAGCCTATTCTCCTGATAATTATCTAGTCTTACCTCTAATTTGTGTGCTAAATGTAATTAGAAATCTATTGGCTGTACGAAATGGGGGCTGAATTGTGGGTAGTGTATGCATTAACCTGCAAAACACAATGCTCTTCAAGCTGAAGATGTTAAACTTGCGTCTTTAAACCAATGGTAAACAATAGGATGCACAATTAACAAGGAAAAAAAGGCTACATTGGACACCCAAGACTACTTGTCCTTGTAAATAGTAACAAAATTAAATATAGAGGATTGAGAATAAAATATGAAATGAAGTTGTTTCTACAATCTGATAGTTGTAGCATTGCTATATTTAATCTAAAAACCTATATTCATTATATAGGGTCTATAGAAAATGATCCAGAAATTTAATTACGTCTTCGTGCCTTGATGCAACTAATAGAGTGAACACAAAGATGCACATGGGGGCATCTTTGCACCCATGTGCATCTTTGCACATGGGTAAGATGTGCATGTGCATCTTTGCACATGGCAAAGATGCTCATTCTACTTAGGGTTCGACCTTGAAATTTCTTAGTAGTGAACTACAATACTTTTTACCTATTGAAACTCTTTCTTGGATGTTCTGAACGCTCTTCGTCTATGGGTAAGGAAATAGACAAAATGTTAACCAAACTAACAGTCGTGATACATTAGGTATCTATAGATATATAATATTTATAAAGATAAAGGAGCTATAAATATTTATAGGATTTTTGTATTTATATATTCAACAAATCAATAAAATAAGGCAAAGTACCGATATTTACCAAAAAAGGCAGAATTTGTGAGTTGAATATCGCTCAATTTTGACACCGGATTCAGGTTAAATTATTGGAATTATTGTCATTAACATCGTTAAACTTTTGTTATAAACATTACTTCTGGAATTTTATTACACACCTTTATTCATACAAACTTAAGAACCAACAAGCTTCCAGCTTCCTGTACCCTCCGAGGCCACTGAATATAGAAGACATCAGGTAAACTCAGGTAAAATACCTATTCATGGAAGAAAATAAAAAGCAAGTTATGTTTATTAAATTCTCATTGCACGTGATGCAATTATGTGGCCGGAGACGGAGTTGTTTACCGATAAGATACGCGAGCAGTAGTGAAGACAAATGTGCAGGGCGAACAAGGTCAAGAAATGAAACGTGATTCAAAAATGATAAGGAATAAATGAAATCTTGTTGAGAAGGGTTATATTTGTGTGTGTGTGTGTGTGTGTGTGTGTGTGTGTGTGTGTGTGTGTGTGTGTGTGTGTGTGTGTGTGTGTGTGTGTGTGTGTTTTGTGGGCACTAAATCGGGTACCTAGCGGTGCCCTGGCTAATCCATGTGCCTCACACATACCCTCTTTCCTCACTTTACACACACACACACACACACACACACACACTCACACACACACACACACACACACACACACACACACACACACACACACACACACACACACACACACACACACACTCA